TTTGGTGGGGGAGAGGGAAGACTACAAAAGAAGCATGGATATTATATGAACCTAGCGTTCATTTAAAAAATGTTGCTTTGTGCGTGTGTAGAAAATTTCTGAAAGCAAATACATATATGAAAAAGTTGACAACGTTTAGTTTTTTATTGTGAGATGATGGAAAACCCTTCCTTCTACTATATGCTATCTTTGCTTTATCTGAATATGAGAGTATATAGCACTTTTATCATCACAAATGAATTAATAAGGATAAAGAGGAAATTCAATTTCTATTGGGTAGGTCTTTCTTAAAGCAATAACTAATTCCCACAAAAATAAAAGTATTTATGATTGTTTTCTACAAAAAAGGATCTTACTGATGCTTCTAATTAAATTTGTTTAAAAAAAGAAAAAAACTGTCAAGTTCTTGCTGAGAAATCTCACTAGAGAGCCCCAGGGTTAGGCATGAATACAATATCATGCCTCCAAATTAAAATGTCCTAGGATGAACATCCCAGGAAAGCACCGTTCTCCACTGACAGTTGGATTGTGAAGAGCTACAGAGGCATCCAATCCTATGCTTTCTATCCTCAGGGGCCTAGGAACAGATATTGGCCAAATTTCAAATGGCTGAACCCAGGAATTCCTATAGCAACTTCATGATGTCAGGGTTTTTTGGGTTTTTGATTTTTTGGTTTTTTTGTAAGTACTCTTGGCCAATATCAAGGGTTTTCCAGGGACTCCAAGAAGTCCGGCTGAAAAGAAAGAAATCAACAAAATATTTCAAGTATTTTCATTCCATCCAAATAAATCCTTTTTAAGCAATACAAATTTGATAGAAAGCTTCCCTAGTGAGCATGGTGGGCATGAAGTTCAGCTTTGATACATAAGAATTGGGGGTCTGTTGGGGACTTTTCCCTCCCTCCCTTCCTTCCTCCCTCCCTCGCCCCCCTCCTTCCTTTCCTTCCCTCCTTTTCTTCCTTCTCCTCCTTCTCTTCTTCCTTCTCCTTCTTCTCTCTCCTTCCTTTCTTCCTTTCCTGTGTGTGTGTAGGTGCTTTGCTGTTTTTGCTCCTTCATATTGGTTCTCCTTAGAATAATGTTACCAATCCACTGGAATGGACTCCACATTCTTTTACACACAAAGTGAAACTCTCCAAATAAATCCCAAGTTTCAAGATCTTTGAAAGTAAAAATGTTACTTGATGCTATATGCAAGCTTCAGGTTGTATGCATTCATCCACAAATGGAGAATCAGCAGGGAATAAGAAAGACAGAACTTTGCTCTCTTGGGGCACACATGATGCTGCTGTATGAAACCCCTGAGCAGTTTCTGTGGTGAGCATAGGTCAATAGAGGCAACAGGACATTTCAGGTAATTGAGAGTTCAGACCTTTAAAGGAGCCCTCCCTGCAGGGACTCTTGTTCAGGCCAGTCTCTGACCTACCCTCCTCTCCTCTCCTCTGGGGGTCTCCCTTCCCTCCCAACCACTCCACAGAGGACCACATACCTGATCCTCTCTCCCCTTTCCTTCCCTAAATGAGCCTCCAACCCTCATTCACACTAAGCTCTAAGTGACTGGCAACAATTGCCAGGGCCCCTCCCACACACACCCCCAAAAGGAGATTACACCTGTATCAAAGGAGAATAAAAGGAAAGAAAGAAACAGACATTTATTGAGGGCATACTATGCACCCAACACTATCCTAGGCACAGCGAGCATACATTATCTCAATTAATTCTCCCAACAAAAGTTAGACCATTCCTTCCCTTTTATATTAAGGAAACTGTTTAACAGATGTTAACTCCCTTGGCCAAGATCATAGACAGTAGATGACACAGCTTTGATCTGGCGGACCCGCATTCTGCTGCCTCAGGAGATCAAGGTAAAAAACTCAAAGGACATTTGGCATTTAAGGCCAAAGCCAAAGGCTGAAGAGGACTTGAGCCTCCCAAGTGCGTTGGCTCCCTTGTCTTCTGCCTCAAGGGTAGGAATATCTTGTGGAAGATTTAACTCATGGAAAGAGCCAGAAGCCCACTTTCTGCTGCTTTGGACAAAAAGTCTCCATTTCTCCAGGCAGCACCTACCTTTCCATCTCTCTACCCAAGGATGTTTGCTGATTCTGGCCCTCCCTTCCCTTCTCCCTACTACAGATACTACTGTTAAAAAAGAGACAAGAGGTCCAAAACAGTCACTTGTGCTAAGCTCCACATCAGCAAACCAAGACATACTACCTGACCTAATTGCAGTTGCAACCTCTCCCAGGAATGTAACCTTTAACCAGTCAGTCTGGAATTACCTGGTTGGCACTAGTGAGGTCATCTGCCTGGTAGGACCCCCACGCTCACCCCGCCTTCCCCCAAAAGAAGGTGATCTTGCCCAAAACAATCCACTCCTTGTTAGAAGAACTCCCTTGCCACACCTCCTTCTGCCTATAAAAGTCTTCCATTCTGTCCAGCTCCTTGAAAACTCCCCTCTATCTGCCAGATGGGATGCTGCCCAAATGATGAATCACTGAAGGCCAGTAAGATCTTTAAATTTACTCAGCTGAATTTTGTTTTTTTTAACACTACCAAAATGGCCATCTCAAAGCATTGTGGAATCAGCACACAACACTGAAACCTTCAAAGGTCCCTATTTCTAAAAGCCCTATATGGTTTTAATGCTTCTCTATCTGGGGCATGCCACCATATATGAAATGCCATCTTCCCTGATGGTCAAACTCATACCCCCACTCTTCTCAGGCCAGTCTCCTTACTGCTCTTCAGTCATTCCCATTCTGGTGTCAATACTCCCCCCCCCGCCCACAACCATCCTCCACCCGTCCTACCCTAAGGACAGCTGGAGGCTATGCTAAAGTCTCCACTGTTGCAGAAGACCTCTCCTGACTATGCTGTCCCCCAAGACTTCTTCCTCTCTCCTGTCACCCACAATTCTAAACCACCTCACATCCTGCTTTCTTCTGGCTGTGGGTTCACATGTGTTAATTTAAGGCAGGGACCAGCTTGGACCTCTTCACTCTGTATGGATGACAAAGGAGTGCCTTTCTCCATAGCAGCCCCCCAACCAGGCCCTGGTGGCTGAGCCTCTGTGGTACTCACGGCTGTGTATTTTCTGCAGAGAGAGGTACTTTTCCAGGTTCCTCCTGAGCTTCATCTCATTTCCATACTTGCCCACAGTCCCGTCATCGGACAAGATGAAGTGGGAATGCATGCTGTTGAGGGTGGTGAGCTTGCTGAGGGGGTTGCCCAGAGTCTGGTACAAACACACCACCTGGAGGACAGCGAAGATAAGAGAAGGTCAGAGCTCAAGGTCCTTCTCTGGGCTCACCTGCTCCATAACGCCTGTCCATGCATCATGGAGTTCCTGCCAAGGTTAGTAAGTACTACTTACTACCCAGAGCAGTGTTTCTCAAGCTATCTGTGGTGAAGGATCAATTTGTTTTTTTTTAAATCTCCCATCTTTTAATGGATTGGTATATGGTCCTACTATGTGTAACCAGTATGCGGCTCATGCTACATGAGAGTCATGACACAAGTTCAACAACTCTCCCACATGCCATGCTCAGCAAGATAAGCCCACTGGCCATATGCTTAGATGTCACAGCATTTCCATGTTGCTAAAAATGGTTCTAAATATTTATAATTTCTGTACTTACCTTGTCTCAGATTATAAAACAGTTCAAAAACGTACAGTGATACACAGACTACATCACTATCCAAAAAATATGCCTTTCAATAGATGTCTTCCAAAATAATATTGTTATACCACTTTTTTTTTTTTTTTAGTATTCCAAATGGAATGAAGAGTAACCACTGAATGGAGATCCATCCATTTAATATAAAACATCCAGATCTTTATTAATATTTGTGGACTCTTCCTTAAGCTACCCCAATTCTTATTTGTTTTTAGAGACAAAAGCACAGTATGTGGAGTCAGAGGGACCCAGTTTAAGTCCAGACTCTTCTACTTCCTAATTTTAACTTGGGGTAACTCATCTCCTTTCTCAGGCATACTTTGCTCATGTATAAGTGAGAATAATAATTCCTACAGCAGAGGGTCGCTATGAAGCTTAAAAGGAATAATGATGGGAAAAGCACTACAAACTTTATCAACATTAGTCTTTAAAAGTTACCTTTATTAATTCCTAAATGTGACACTGACACCAGAAGCCAAAAAGAAAATAATTGAGAGATTTAATACTTCTGAAGTATCTTATCACTAATATCATTTTTTATAAAAGCAGAAAATGGACAATGATAGAGGAAAAGTTAAATTATAGTATTATTAAAGTACTATGGTACAGTAGAACATTATCAGGCATAAAAAATCAGAATGCACTATTGGCCCCTAGAATACAATTTCCCACTAAAAAAACCAGCCATTTCTCAAGGAGCAAAAATTAGCCTGGAACATTTTTTTATACTAAAACACAAAGAAGCAATGAAAAACAACTCGAATTGTGTTAAAAGGACTCAGGAGACAACTTGAAAAGTTTCCACTGGCCAAAAGGGGACAATCTGAGCATAATTAAGAGTAAATAACTAGAATAGATGAACTGAAACATATTTAATATTCGATATGTTTCAACTCATGAACCAAAAAAAACCTCATTGTTCTCGTTGGAGGTTGATAGATAACAAATCATTGCTTTGAAAGCTGGAAAATAAAGAGAAAGAATCAGGCATTTATTCTGCCCTTTCCCATACAACTGTACCACAAAGTAAACCAAAAAGTTGATGAGAAAATGTTTCTCTTTAGAGAGTGTTTAAGCTAATAAAGAAAGAAAGAACACTGTAATTAAGTATCAGCATTTGCAACTCAGTTGAGATCATGAATCTAGGCAAGGACATCATAAAAAGAAAGATGATCATAAGTTACAAGGGAAGGACACATCTCTTGTGGCATAAACTTGCACAAAAAATCTGGTATTTGATCATACCTTTGGATCAAACTACCAGTTTACAAGAAAGACAAGAGACAAATAAATACCCTAAACCCTAATATAACAGGCTAGATCTGCAAAATCCAAACTATGGGAAACCCTTCAGGAAAAATGACCTAGTTCTTTAACAAATAAATTGCACCAAAGAGAGAGAGAGAGAGATGGAGGAAAAATCCATAGATTAAAAATGACTGAGGAGCACCTGGGTGGATCAGCCAGTTAAGCATCCAACTCTTGATTTTGGCTCAAGTCATGATCTCACGATTGTGAGATCGGCCCGGCATCAAGCTCTGTGCTGGGCGTGGAGCCTGCTTGGGATTCCCGCTCTCCTCAGCCCTTCTTCCTCTCCTCTCTAACAACAACAACAAAAGACTGAAAGTGACTCAACAGACATCTCAACCCATCACAATATAGGGAACTTTTCTGGATAATGAAATCAAACAACTAGGGCACCTGGGTGGCTCAGTCGGTTAAGCCTTTGGCTCAAGTCATGATCCCAGGGTCCTGGGATTTAGCTCCACGTCAGGACTTCTCCCTCTGCCCCTCCTCCCCGCTTGTGCTCTCTCTCTCTCATTCTTGCTCTCTCAAATAAATAAAATCTTAAAAAAAAAAAAAGAAATCAACTAAAAAATATGACAAAATCAGAACACTGAACATAGACTGGCTATTTGTTGATATTCAGGAATTAATTTTTTAGGTATGAAAATGGCAATGTGGTTATATATTTTTTTAATTGTCCATATATTTCAGAAATATCTACTTATTGGTATTTAGAAATATCAAAGTATTGGTAAACCAATTGCTAAGTTAGAAATACTGATTAAAATATTTACCAAAGACATTATTTGATGTCTGGAATTTGCTTCAAAATATTGGAGTGAAGAGGTGGGGAATGGATAAAGGGATAGATGAAAGAAAATTGGCTCTAATCTCATAACCGTTGAAGCTGGGAGATGGGTACATAGGACTTCATTATTTTAATCTCTCTACTCCTTAATATGTGTGAAATTTTCCAAAATGAAAGTTAAACCATACATGTCTATATTAATTGACATAGAGAAGTAACTGTTAATAATAGTTATATAGTAATAGTTAAGCAAAAGAACAGATTCATAAAAACAAAAAAAAATTAAAAACATTTACATTGGTGGGTTTCTGTTACTACTTTTTTTTCATACAAACTTTTTTTTATTATACATATGTACACATACTTAGAAAAAATTATGGAATGATACACACCAAGATATTAACAGTGGTTATCTTTCCTCTTCATACCTTTTGTAATACCTAAGATTTTTATCAGAAATATACACTATTCTTATAAACAGACTTAGACAAGTCCATTCCCTATAGAAAAAGAGACAGGATCAAAGAATTGATACACAGGAATGAATAAAGCAGAGAGTAGTACAAGATAAGGAAAGAGAAGGGTCAAATCATGAATGTTCCTTGTTTTATCTACACACACACACACACACACACCACTACAAGAAACTCGGCTATTACTCTGAGCAAGACAGGAGCCACTGAAGGGCTTTTCATAGGGGAATAGCACGATCTGATTTATATTTTAGAAGAATGATTCTGGCTACTGTGTTGAGATTAGATTATAAGAAGTGACAAGAATGAGAGAAGGGAAGGCTATTACTACAATCATTCAGGTGACAGAAAATGGTGGTTTGGACCTGCTTAGTAACAGTGGGGGTAATGAGAAGAGGTCATATTCCACATATATTTTTATATTTAAAGTGAAGCTGAGATAATTTACTGATGGATTAGGTTTGAGGTGTTGAGACAGAGATCATTCCAGGATTAGTCCAAGGTTTTTGGCTTGAACAACTGCAAGGATAAGATCATCATTTTCTAAGATAGGGCAAGTAGGAAGACAAAGTTGGTTTGGGGTATATTACATTCGAGATGCCTTTTAGATGCCCAGGTGTAGTGCTGAGTTGGCAATTAGATACACATTCATTTCCTTTTGTTGTGAACAGGTTGTCTACTTACATCTTTTCCAATAAGATCTCTCTGGTTCTCAATGACGCCCCAAGGAGGGATTCCAACTGTGCAGATTTTTCTCAAGGACTGGAAGGAATGGGCTTTCAGGGCATCCCCAACATGTTTCGACACACCTATGAACAACAGAGATCAAACTTTAACAGACGAATCGTGCAAAACACCGTGACTGCTGGAAAGAGACAAATGGGCATGGATATATGCAAAGGGACATTCTTAAGGAAAGTTGCTGGCACAGTGGAATGAATTTCTGATATCTTGGCTTCCTCTACTCTTTTTTTTTAATTTATTTTTTATTTTTTTATTCTTATGTTAATCCCCATACATTACATCATTAGTTTTAGATGTAATGTTCCATGATTCATTGTTTGTGCATAACACCCAGTGCTCCATGCAGAATGTGCCCTCCTCAAT